CTAATCCAACTGTTGATAAAGCAAATCACAAAACCACTGATAAAAATCCCTACTCCTCCTATTACATATACATACAAACATAAAAAATATAAGCGTAAATCTCAGGTCTCTGATCTCTCTCGAATTCTTGATCCTACATTCGGTTTTCCTCTTTCCTGAAGACAGCAGATACAAATGGTGAGACTCAGCTTTTTTTTTTTTTGGCGAATTGAGTTTATTGTATACTATGTAAATTTGGATTTGATTTGATGGAATTTAATTGATTTGCGTTTTTGTGGTTTTTCAGGCGTTGCCTAATCATCAGACTCTGGATTACCCAAGTTTCAAACACCAACACGTACATGTTGGCCATAGTGTCACAGGTAAATTTATTGAATTTTGTATTTTAAATTATTGTTTTACTTCTGCCTTTACCATTGAGCATTGAAGTTGTTAAGATGGTTACTAAGAGGTACTTCGTTACCTGGAATAAAAGTTTCAGTTTGGAAAGTAGGATTTTTCAGATCTTGACTTCATGTTTTTTGTTTGATTGATTTTCAGGCGAAATAAGATTTTTTTCCCCCCGTTTTCAGGTTTTTTTTTTACGGAGGAAGAATTTAATTAGAACTATATATCTTGGTGAATATATAGAAGTAGAAATAAAGTGTCCAATGTTTGCCAACTTTTCCATGCACAAGTGTCCTTAGCTTCTACAAATACCTTAATATAATCGATAACTGTAGTTGTTCCCCTCAATTCTCTCAGACGAAAAAACCTTGATGGAATCTAACAATGTTTATTTTTTAGGAAATCGGAAAAAATCAGCCCCGTCATCCCCCGGTGTTGCAACCTTCTTATACGGCGGTTTGAATTTTCTGTCTCGTATTTTCTGTCCTCAGGCGATGGCGAAAGAAGACGATTCGAAACGTAAAGAATGGGATTCACATGGACTGCCGACGAATATTGTGGTTAGTCTCAAGAAGCTTAGTGGGTTCAAGAAGTATAAAGTCTCCAAAATCAACTTTTTGCATCCACGAACCAGGTCTTGTAATTCATGTTATACAAAAAAGAAAAAAAAATCTACTTGTAATATTATCTTGCAAAATTTTCATAAAAACCATCACAATTTTTCCAACAGGTCCATTATCGATGCCGAAGATGCGTTCCACGATTTGCTCACGCTACAACCCTGCGGGATTTACACCAAAGCCCAACTCCAGAAAGAAGTCGAAAATTTAGCTTTGTCTGGGTGCTTCAAGGAAGTAGAGCTCGACATGAAAACGAACCCTGATGGAACAGTTGATATCAATTTCCCCATTAAAGAAATGTATTGGGGATCAAAGTATCGAATGAAATGCATCAGCGTGAATTCGCTTCCAGATCCTATCCAAATGGACGAAAATATGACACAGAATGAATCGATTGAATTCATGGTGGGCCACAACAGACAGTATCGAAAAAGAGTGGAGGAAGCCAGGCCATGCATGTTGCCAATGGTTGTGCAGGGAGAAATTCAGGGAATGTTGAGACAATGTGGTAATGTAAATTCGAGGCTTTTAAGAAAGATTGCCAAGAGAATAGAGAAATGGTATCGTGAAAATGGATACGAATTTTCTCGGGTCGTGAATTTTGGGTATTTGAATTCGAATAGTAAGGAACTTGTGTGTGAAGTGATGGAAGGAGATATAGATAAGGTGGTGGTTCAGTTCCAGGATAAGCTTGGGAATATCTGTGAAGGAAATACGAAGCTTGGTGTTATTACCAGGATACTGCCCAAACAGGTAATTAGTCCGACCCCCTTCCCCGCCTCGATTGTGCCAAGTTCTACATGTCTTGTATGAATTTGTTACATCCTGGATTGTTTTTATCCTTTGTTCTAATGTTACTTGGTTTTATAGTTAGGGAAAGGACGTGTTTTCCAAATCGATGCGTTTTTAGAGGCTTTCAATAATCTCCAGTCTCTAAATCTTTTTTCTAAAATTGAACTCAATCCATTTATGGACGAGAGAAATGGAGCTATCACCACTGAAATTAAGTTACAGGAAGCTCAATGCCAATCAGTTGACGTCAGTACAGAATGGAATATCGTGCCTCAACGCAATGGTCGACCAGTGTTGGTAAGTAACTGATAGGTATAAAGATGTTGGTGGTCACAAAACTTTTAGCGAAATTTCATGTTGGTTTGATTAAATAGAAAAGCTGATGTGGTGCTCTAAGTATTTGTTAAACGGATTACCACATAAGCTTTTCTGTCGATCAAGACAGCATGAATTTGGTATAAAATGAAGTTTAAGTGATCAATGGAAAATTTTTGCTGAAAGTTAAGTGATGCTGACTCGTGCTTGTATATTTAACCGTAAAAAATATGAACAATTTCCTCTTAAATGGAAATGTTGAATTCATACATACTTGGGATAATAGTACCATCTTTCTTGTGCTGTTGTTTCAGGCTTCAATACAACCTTCAGCAAATATTTCATTTGAGGCTCGAAATCTTAAAGGCCTGAATCGAAGCTTTATTGGTTCAATGACTCTTAGCAACCTATTTGATCCCGAGGTGAGGTTGAAAATAAAAATGATATATTTGGTATAATATTGAACTAGATAGTATTGGACATTATTAGGATGCCACACGGAAGTATAAAAAGACAATTTTATTTACTGTCCTACATAGTGCTGTCTAATATTACATATGTGACATGCTCATAATGTTCAAAGATTGAAGAAATAAGAATGGGATTGCAAGTAATTGCTAACTTATTTTATTACAGGATGATCTTGGTTTCAATTTCGAGTATGTACATCCATACCTAGATGGTGTACATAATCCTCGCAATCGCACCTTTCGAGCTTCATGTTTCAACAGTCGAAAATCTAGTCCTGTGTTTACTGGTGGCCCTGAAGTAGATGTGCCTCCGTTATGGGCAGATCGTGTTGGAATTAAAGCCAATATTACTGAGGTAGATCATTTCTAGCGATGTAAACGCATTCAATTGAACATCTGGTTATAAGAGTCCATAATGTGTGTTCGTTGTTTATTCTCTTAGAGCTGATCAGAAGCGACCTTTTGTTTCTTTTAGACGCTGTCCATATTTAGACTAACCTAGCCTTCTCCATCCTTTAGGACCAACCTGTTGTCCAGTGTCAACTACGCCTTTTGGCCTAATTTTAGACCCAGACTCTTCCTCAACAACCCTGAATTAGGGAAAAAGTCTCAATTTCTAAACTATTTATCCCACTTGTGTTTTTAACTAAGATACTTTGTACAGGATTTTACCAAACAGAGCAAATTCACTTATGGGCTTGTCATGGAAGAAATCATAACCCGTGATGAACATGGCCGGATTTCTAGAAATGGCCAGAAGAAGATGTCAAATGGAAATGTCTGTGCTAATGGACCTCCAACTACGCTAAGTGGCACTGGCACGGATCGCATGGCATTTTTACAAGCAAATCTAACACGAGATAATACGCGATCTCTAAATGGGGCATTAGTTGGAGAGAGAAATGTGTTCCAGGTGAGTTTCCAAGCTTTTGTTATTGTTGTCTCAAATAGGTAGATGTAATAAATAACTGAAATGGGGATGACAATTTGATTCCACCATAGCGCTGCATTATCACTGAGGTATTGTTGTTCTACCTATGTTTTTATTTGTCCCAAAGATTGAGGCCCTCAAACCGCGTCTCCATTTGTCACGACAAGTCTCCCACTTGCTCGGTGTCCCTTATGCTATGAGCTCTTTAGGCTTTGGAAAACCACATTCGTGCCACCCTGCATGGCGCTGGCATGGATCTTCACCATTGACAACTCCTTTTGCATGCTCTCGATGCTTTTCCATAGTCAGTCCAGTTGGCCTTTCACCCCCACATTGTGATCTCCATAGCTCACTTCAACTTTATTGAGGCCTTTTTTCTTGGAGGCCTTAATTTCCTGTTCACTTTGCTGTTTTTGTTCATCGCTACAACTTTTGAATTCATTTAACTACTATCAATACTTGAGAAAAGTAAACTGAAACGGTTCTAAAATATTTTCTTATCTTGACTGCAGTTTGATCAAGGACTTGGCATTGGTAGCAAGTTCCCATTCTTCAATCGCCACAAGCTAACAATGACCAAAATTTTCCCCCTAAGGCAAGTCGAAGAAGGCAAAGGTAATCCTGCACCACCTGTTTTAGTCCTTCACGGCCTGTATGGTGGTTGTGTAGGAGATCTCCCGAACCACGAAGCTTTTACACTTGGTGGACCACATTCAGTAAGAGGTTACAGCATGGGAGAGCTAGGGGCAGCTAGACAAAAACTTGAGGCACGTACACACAAATAACTTGAAACCACAATTTAATATTTTACTGCTCAAGTTTTTAGATGAGAAGGTTTAACAAAAATATACACTAAATTAGAATGATCATGTCTAGATGTTCATTAACTTGTATCTCACTTGTGATGCAATGTGCAGTTGGCAGCTGAGATTCGAATACCCGTGAAAAACGCGTACGCTTATGCATTTGCAGAACATGGAAATGATCTCGGAAGTTCAGTATCTGTACAAGGAAACCCAACGAAGGCATACATGAAAAATGGTCATGGTTCCTCGTATGGTGTTGGAGTGAAGTTCGGTCAAGTACGTGCTGAGTATGCTGTTGATCATAACTCCAGGCGGGGCTCGTTTTTCGTTCATGTTGGGGAAAGATTCTGAGAGTTGTTCATAAATCAGATTATTTTTCTTGTTAATTATCCAAATTTTATTAATAAATATAGGAAGATTTTTGAAGAAAATATGCAACTTATAAGTCATTTGACCTTTTGGTTGTTGTTCATAAGAATAGATGCAACTTTATAGATAAACCATTATTTTTTGATATCATGATTATGACACTTGATCAGAAATTGAATTCACAATTTAAAGAATATTTCTTCTCAGAAGTTTGAGAACAGCCATACACAAAACATGTTATTACATAAACAAGGAGAAGGGTAGCAACCCAACTCTCACAATCGCAAGAACTTATTAGGTGCCGAGTACTTTAATAATCTTCTTCATCATCAACACCCTCATCATCAACTTCTTCATAGTCTTTCTCGAGACCAGCTATATCTTCACGAGCTTCACTGAATTCACCTTCTTCTATTCCTTCACTTCCTTCACCAACGTACCAGTGAACAAATGCTTCTTGGCATACATGAGATTGAATTTGAGGTTGATGTGTGAAAACACTTCGACCACTGCAGTGTTGTTGCTAATCATGCACGCGGCTCGTTGCACCTTTGCAAGGCTGTTGGAGGCTGATAGTTAATACCACACTTGAAGCCAGTGGGGCACCTGTAAAATCCGGACAGGGAATTTTTTATTCTAGTTGTACTAGCCCGCAAAACCAATAAAAGAAAATGCTGGTAAAGATTCAATAAATTTGATATTATCTATATCCGTCTAATAAATAAATTTAATTATGTGAAATAACTATGTTCATCTTGCCAGTTAGGTTCCAATTTTTGCCAAATTATATTGCTAAGATGATTGCATCAGAGGAATGTATAGAGGTTATGTTTTGATCTACCAACTTGTTAATGTTTTAAATATGTTTTGGGTATATTATGAAATTTGAGAGTAGGGTTTTGAGTGTATTTCGAAATTACATGGATTGGGTTGAAAACAAGGGTATTTCTCGAACCAATGAATTTTAAGATTCGGCGTTGAGAAATGACTATGCTCGTTATTGAGATTACTAGGTGTGTTTGTGCCACATTATTTTGGATGAATGTATTTTGGAATAGTAGATTGATAGAGAATGTGTGGTTGAAAAAGAAAGAAAAGTTATTGATGTGATGAAAAATATTATTTTATTGAAAAATATATGGTTTAAAATGAGTAGAAGAATGAAAATGAAAATTTTAATGTAGCTCAAATATGGGCTAAATTGAACTACTATCGTTTTGATGTGAAGTTCAAATTTAGCTATTTTTTTAGAGCTATACGATGTATGTTAGAAATGATCTCTATTTAAGTTTGCATAAACCTAATTTGAAGCTTTTTTTTTGTCCTATCTAATACCGAAATGAGCAAATTAAGAACAATAACAAGTGTTTGATGCATTTATCTTGTTTTATAATGAGTTTTAGCTTAATTGGACTTTCTTTTGTCATTACAAGGAAAACTACATTTGTGAAGAGGCATCTTATTGAATATTTATAAAACTTAAACTTTAAGAAACTTCATAAATTGTCAAGATCTCCATGTCAAATCACCAAAAGAATAAATTAATGTGGAACGTGTTTTGAATCTTGAAGATCGGTTTGCAATATCCTATTGTCTGGCTTCTTACTTTCAATCTTGATTGTCTAATTCTTCAATTTGATTGCTTCAATTCTTCTTCTTGATTCTTGAATTATTTTATACGGGTTGTTGATCTTTCCCTTCAATATGTTTTCTTTTAATTATTATGGGATGACACAAATAATGAGAATCACATATCAATAACCCTACTTATTTATGGGGGTACTTATACAAATACTCTATATTTTGGGGTCATTTTGAAAAAAAATATTAAAAACTTGGATTAAATGGCAAATGGTTAAAATTGAAATTATTTTTTACGCTCAATTTAAAACTCAATTTTCATCTTTTACCAATGTTTCTACACATTCTACGATGCCGCAAGAATCATTTTCCACTTCCTCACATTGAATTAGACCATCATCTCCATTTTTTACTCATATGCCTATTGTTGGCCGGCACCACCACGGCCTCCCTACTTATCCATTAATCATAAGTGATAGTCGAGATCACCTTTGTTAATCCTGACTCATGGAAGCACAGGCTACAAGAAGGCAACTATCATTATCTAAAAGTAGGAAATGAGAGAAGGGAGCTTGAAGAATTATGAATTCCACTTTATTGCATATAAGATAAGAAACCAGTTTATAAGGTCTTTTCTTTCCATCATGTTTAGATTAAAAAAATAAGGTTTGTATGCAAGGTGTTTGTCTAGCACTTTTTCTGAAAAGTCATAGTATCTCGCTGGAGCAATTAACTAAAAACATAAGTGCATATTCTTAAAATTTTAAATATACGAATTCAAACTTTGTTTTATCTTGCATTCAATTCACATTTCTTTAAATCAATTCAATTGATGTATCAAAGGTATTTGCGAAAATGAAAAAGTGAAAAGGCGGCATTCTAACACTTTTCTATGAAAAAGTTACAGTTTCTCATTTGAGCAATTAACTAGACTCATATGTGTGCGTTTTTTAAAATTTAAATATAAGAATACAAATATTGTTTTAATCTTGCATTGTATTCATATTTCTTTGAATTAATTTAATTGATGCGTCCAAAGTGTTAGCGAAAATGAGAATGTCAAAAAGTGACTATCACTTTGCTCTGAAAAATTACAGTATCTCATTAGCAGTTAACTAGAAGTATGTATGTGTATTTTTTGAAATTTAAATATACGAATTCGAATTTTGTTTTAATCTTTCAATTAATTCATATTTTTTTGAATCAATTCAATTGATGCGTCTAAAGTGTTTGTGAAAATGAAAATGTAAAAATGTGATATTCTGTCACTTTTCTCTGAAAAAGTCGTAGTATCTCATTTGAGCATTTAACTAGAAGCATATACGTATATTTTTTTAAAAAAAAATGTAAATGCGAATTCAAATTTTGTTTTAATCTTGCATTCAATTCATATTTTTTTGAATCAATTCAATTAAAGCATAAAATGTATTTGCAAAAATGAGAATATGAAAAAGTGAAATTATGTCACTTTTCTATGAAAAAACTCAGTATCTCATTGGAACAATTAACTAGATACATACATGAGTATTTTTGAAAATTTAAATATATGAATTCAAACATTGTTTTAATCTTACGTTCAATTCATATTTTTTCGAATGAATTCAATTGACATGTCCAATGCGTTTGTCAAATGAGAGAGTGAAAAAATGATGTCCTATCACTTTTCTTTGAAAAAGCCACGTTATCTTAAATGAGCAATTAACTAAATGCATACGTGTGTATTTTTGAAAATTTATATATACGAATTCAAACGTGATTTTAATCTTACATTCAATTCATATTTTTTTGAATGGATTCAATATATTGATGCATCCAAAGTTTTTCCGAAAATGAAAGTGCGAAAAAGTGAAGTTCCGTCACTTTTCTCTGAAAAAGTTGCAGTATCTCATTAGAGTAATTAACAAGAAGCATAAATGTATATTTTAAAAAATTAAATATACGAATTCAAACATTGATGCATCCAAGGTAAAAAAAAAAAAAAAAAATCATATGAAGTATAGTTTGAAAGTAAAAATTACTTTATAAAATTAAGTGTCACTTTTTAATGACACGGTGTCAATGTTTAAGTTAAATGTCACTTTTTTACATACAATGCCACTTTTATTAAAAAGTGATGTTTATCTCTAAAAAAAGTTATATAAATTTCAAAAAAGTGATAGAAAAAAAATGAAAGAAATTCAGAAAAATGACAAACACTCAAAAAAGTGATAAAAAATAAAAAAAAAAATGACAAAATACGTAGCCAAAATTTCACCAATAACCTAACAACTAAGAATGCAAAATGTCAGAATTTAAACACCATTATTGTTTGCTTATCAATCCTTTACATTTATATATCCTTGCCTCTTCAAATGCATCCTCATCTCTATTTCAAAAAATTGACAACACTAAAAAAGTGACACATATTCAAAAAAGTGAGAGAAAAACAAAGACAAATAAAAAAAAAAGTAATAGAAAAAAGTGACAAATTCAAAATGTGACATAAACTCAAAAAAGTGATATGTAGGTTTCAATCAATAAACGACTCTATAACATCCAATTGATATAAATAACCCATCTTAACAAGAAAACAATTCTAAGATAACAGTAACAAACCCATATGAAAAATTATCAAAGTTAGCATTAGAGTTCATTCCCATTGTGCAAAATGTTGGATCTCATCGAGGGTGAATCCTAATGGTGCAAATATCACTCCTTCAATCAGGCACCACAATTCCAGCAGTCAAGACAAATCTTCTCCAAAAACACTCCATGATTCACGCACCGCTATTCCCTGAATCATGCATCTTCTATGTAAAGCTCATTTCCCTTGTATAGCGTCATTATTCTACTGCATATATATCCCGGTCATGTTGCATTGTAATTGTGTGAGATAATAATATATTAAGAACATCTTTATGGTATCAGAGCATTCCCTCCAACGAGAATCTCGATCC